GATAGTGAAAGTGATATAAAAAGTAAGAGTGAGTGAGAAAGAGAGAGAAAAGAGAGAGAGTGATTGAGTGAGAGTGATAGTGATATAGAAAGTGAGAGTGAGTGATTGAGTGAGAGAGATAGTGAGAGTGATATAGAAAGTAAGAGTGAGTGAGAAAGAGAGAGAAAAGAGAGAGAGATTCATTGAGTGAGAGTGATAGTGATATAGAAAGTGAGAGTTAGTGATTGAGTGAGAGTGATATAGAAAGTAAGAGTGAGTGAGAAAGAGAGAGAAAAGATAGAGGGAGAGTGAGAAATTAGGAGAATGTAGTGTTCACCGTTAAATATATTTGTAAGCAGATAAATCGATGGATAGGTTGGAGTTTGAGGCAAAGATTATTATAAAATATTATTAATTGAACATAATTAATTGGCCATTAATTAAGGTTTTTAGTTGCGATGAAAAAAAGTTAATGACACGAGAGGGATTCGAAACCACGACCTTCGGCTAGATACGCCGCTGCTCTACCACTTGAGCTATCGTGACCGTGAGATGGGGAGTTGGTGTCTGAGTGGATCGAGGTCACGATAGCTCAGGTGGTAGAGTAGCGGCGTATCAAGCCGAAGGTCGTGGGTTCGAATCCCTCTCGTACCATTAACTTTTTTTCATCTCAACTAAAAACCTTAATTAATTGTCTTGTATTATTTGGTCAAGCGGACCAAGAAAATAGTGAATTAATAATTAATTGGTTTAGAAAGTTTCTATTAATATAGCAATGCCATTTGAAAAAAAAATGAACAAGAAATTACAATCTAGTTTACATATCATGATCAAATCAGGTCTACTTTGTCCTCTTTTGATAATAAGGAAACCCCTCCGGTTAAAATTGGGCTTTTCATTCACGAAAATTCACTTAATTTGGATAGAGTGGTTGGAGAGCTTGTTAAGATTAAGAGGAAAGGAAAGCTGATGGTAGTTTTATGGCCGAGGAGGCTAAACGAGCTTAAGATCTCATCCCATTTCTGGCACCGCGTCAGGAGTAAAACGCAACTTAGGGGCGTAACGAAACAGTTAATCCGCTCGTTTTTGTTAAGCCCTACATAACAGTTTACTGCTTGAAAATAATGTAAGACAACGGTAGCCTAAAATGAAAGCGACCATAGACGTTTCCTCTCTCCATGCAAATTTTGTTATTTACTCTGCCTTTTCCTATTCGAAAGATAAAAGGGAAAACGACAGAACCATTAAAATTAAACATATTTTTACTAAAATTTAACTTTGAAAATAAAATGACCGCGGGAAATAAATTTAAATTTTTGAATTTAAGTGTCATCAATCCCATTATAAATTGAAAGTAGATACATTTTGTTTTGTATCTATATGTATCTACATTTTTTTTTTAAGAAATGTACAAATAAGAGAAATTCTTATGTGATAAAAGCTACAAAACCCAACTACTGATGTCATTTCCTCTCTTTTTTAAATATGTATCTTGACGAGTACCCTCAAACTTTGCATGGTATGAGTGTTAGAACTTTTTATCTAATATTTAAAAATCATATTGCATTCTTAAATGGCACAATAATACACACGATTTTGGCAAAACATTTTAAAGTTTAATTACTATATTTATGGCAATCATTTTAATGTCTTCATCTTGTCCGTAATTATTTTACGACAACATTGCGTTCGACAACAAATAAAAAAGTTCTTTTCTTGTCGACTCAATTTTGCACTAAAATTGGCATAGAAAGTTTTATTTGAATTCCTTGTACACACTAACAAAAAAAGGGTAAAAATATGGTTAATACTACAAATGGAATATATTTTATTTGTTGAAATATTTTTTTCTACTCATGGTCATAAAGACGACATTACATACAAAGTGAGAGAAAGTGAAAAAGAAAGAGTGAGAAAAAGGGAAAATCGATAAGAGGATTACAGAAAGCGGTTAAGGTAAGCGAGTAAGAGTTGAATCAATTGAACATTTCATTTATAAAACTTCTAAAATTAAGTCTAGTATTAAAAATAAGTTTACATAATTCAAAATACAAAATACGTATAATACAAATAATTTTTTTACTTTATGCATATAATTTTAAATATCTTGGTGTTGTATAGAGTATGATTGAACATATTATATTTTCTAATGAGAGAAAAGCTTTTAAATGTGTGTTATAAATATTTTTAGATTCTTATATATTTTGTATAAATATTTTAAGAGAAAATAAGAAAGAAAGAGAAAGAGAGAGAGAAAGAGAGAAAGGGGGAGAGAGTGAGAGTGAGAGTAGAAAGAAAGCCCATAGATAACACACATATTTGTGTAAATTAAAAAGATGAAAAGGGGATCGCGGTAGCCGAGTGGTTAGCATGAGAGACTCTCACGCTGCGGTCGTGGGTTCGATTCCCACCGTCGCCTCTGGCCCTTTTTTCCCGATAACCCCCAATTTGAACACACAAGAATTCATACTATGGCTAATATGCAAGATCATAAGGCCAATAAAAAAAAAAATAAAAAAAAATATCTGATCAATAAAAAATCATTTTAAAAATTCGATCTATATATATTGTACAAAATATATCTGTAATATGAATGTTGCCCCTTATGCAGAGAAAGGTTGCTCGATGTGTCCCACATACTGGAAACATGTACCTTGGCTCCCTACAGGGAGCGTGTAGGCATGCCATCCAATCTGAAAATGGTACTCGAGCACTGCAGTGGGTTTCTGGGTCCGCATTTTAGGGGAAATTGGTTTTTTTATTGTATATAATATGTCTTATGTGTTGTGTGTCTATATGTTTTGTCTGAGTGCATGTATTTATTAGCGTGAATGACGAGGGGTGAGGGTGAAATATAACGTCATCATTGTCCCTCGAGAGTTGAGAGCGTATGAGTGTGTGTTCGGGGTCGATGGCGGAATATTTATAAAAGTACTCCATCGACCCCAATCTAGATTAGTTTGAGTATAGGTCGGTATACTATATTATATCAAGTATATCAAGTACTCCACCGACCAAACGGAATGAGTGTACTGTATGGATGTATTAAAAAAGTTCATTCCAAGGAAATATAGGCTCACTATTGTTGAAAACTAAAATATAAAAAAAAATTTACTTCTGTAATTCTAGTGAATGATTAATGGAGTTCTCAGAATTGATTATTAGTACATTCAACATGTTTATAGGTATGTTAATATATTATTTATGACCTAATACAACAATATTTTATCCAATGTTTATCTTTAACTTCGAATATATTTATATATGGTCTCTGTAGTATTTTTAGATGTGTCAAGCTTTGAAAGGATCAACGTGTTTAGGTGGATGAAACGTGTAATAAACCGTTTTCACAAAAACACTGAGTGCGCTGGATATGGAAAACAAGCGAGTCGACGTATTCTTAAACATAACTTATTTTTTAATTAAGAATCATCGGGCTATCTCGTTTGTCACCGTAGGGATAACTAGAAACAGTTCCAACTAAACTGCTGAACATGTACCCTACAGCCATTAACAACACGAGTTCAGCCCTTTTCCACGATTTTCACAGGCCTTTATGCCAGAGCAATAACCGTTACATAATTTACACTGGTGGTAACGACGTTTAAAGTCCCTTTACCGTAACGCCCTGCTTTACGATGACCACTATGTCTGCCCGAACAATACCAGGCGCGTACTGCAAATTTTAAGGAAGCTCAAAATAATAAAATTTTGCGACTTTCTGAAAAATAATGTTATCATGCTTTGAACTTTAGTGAATTTATTTTCTTTTGATGTATTTATTTTTCATAAAGGATGTCTCTATTTGCTTTTATCCTAAAATAAGTGTTATAGAAAAACAGTTTAAATACTAACCCCCATATTTTTTTCAAGGATCTACGATAAGTGGTCTGCACTTTTTTAATCCCTTTTTAATTAAGTAATAAGTAAATATCTACCAACTTAATTTTTAAAAAAACTTCTGCCTAGTTTTGATAAATTTTCAAAAAATAGATTTTTTAATTAAAAAATTTAAAAAATACGACGGGTTGTGCATTTCCGGAGATAATTTAACTCAAAGACTAGGTGTATTTCATCCTTTCAATGAGATCTAAGGTCTTGCCATTCCCAAGGAAATATCAACATTTGACTAATCCGCCCAGGAAATTTTGGTGCCTACTGCCTAACATCTTCACGCCCCACTTCCCTAATTCCACTTCCACATGATACATTTCCATTTTCCTTCGCAACAGCCGACGTCATATGATATGAAGTGCCAGTATTTTTGAAAAAAAGCCCGTTTGTAAGGATGTCGGTTTCGAATGCAGGTCGTTGGATTCGAACCCGAGACCTTACAATGATGAGCGCCATGCCAATGCCTAAACCGTTGCGGCCACCGACGCCCCCTAAAATATTTTTAATAAAATTTTATTATACCTACGTACGAAATTTTGTACAAAATGATTAATTATACATTGTAAATAAAATTTATACATAAACGTGAACGTTTTTATTTATAACTCGCCTATGGGCATACTATATAAATAAATATAATAAAAAAAAAACCTTGTTATTGTAATTTTTCTACTACGAAAATATTTGTTATAAAAACGACCCGCACGGCTGTCTACGTTATTTTTGCACCGACGGTGGTGCGAGTTTTAATTAATAAAATTAATTTCATGTTTTTTGTTGAAATCGAGAAGATAGAAATCTTGGTTAGATAAAATATGTACTTAATAAAAGGGGAGATTTGTGTTGAAGACGGTTTGTTTATACCGTATGGCGGACATGTTGAAATAGGGTTTGCATAACGGTAACGCTACACTGATGTAAGTGCGCAGGCGCCGATTTAACGGAACGCTGTCTGAATAGCGGCCTACGTTGTTAGTCCTTGAATAGCGTGCTTGTTAAATGGTGACGGTAAGCGAACTAACCTGTTTAATATGCAACCCGTTTATTTTGTTTTCTGTTTGTTTGCCTTTTTGAGTTTTTTATTAGCATATATTGTTAATATTAATGTCTCTTGTTTCATAGTTCGGTATGTCAATCAATAAAACTACAGAAAATAGAAGGCTACGATTTACGGCAGCCGATGATGTTGCGCTATTAAGAGAAGTCGTCGGATCGAATCCGTTCGAGGATCCTACGGCCTGGTCAGAAATTGGTCGTGAAGTTAACTCAACGACAAATAAAAATTTCACGCTTCGTTGTTTAAAAGAGCACGTCGAACATCTAATAAAACTGTATATACGGGGCGATACAGCGAATTTGAGAAAGTAAGAAAATTTGTATTGTATTTTGATTGAACACGTTTGTTTGGTACGTCGTTGTGGAACGTTCGACCCTTCCCCACGCAGAACGCGCAACTCGTCCAGAAAACGCGCGCTTTTCGATGCTTGTAGGGTGTTGGAAGTTTCCGAACGAGTCGGTTTCTCAGGCGTTCAGTATAACTTTGTTATCTGTTGGCAGTTTTTCATGGTTTACGATTTTTTGAAAAAATTCCCGACAGTAGGTAATTTGTTTTTGTCATACCGTAGTGAAATTGTTGATGGTTATTGTTTTTATTTCTCAAAAATTATTGAAGTTATAGTCAAGAACAGCACATCAAAGGGATTTCTTTTACACTTTTTGTAAATGATGGTTCCACTCACAGAATTTGATGTTTACTACTATCCGGATTTCGAGCATTAAACGCTCGTAATCAGGTTGAAGGAATTACTATTAGCCTCCCAACATAAATTTTAAGTTCAATTAATAAAGGTTTTAATTTGAGATAAAAAAGTTAGTGTCACGAGCGGGTTTCGAACCCACGACCTTCGGCTTGATAGCCACTACTCTACCACTTGAGCTATCGTTTTTATTGCGTTCAATTTTGAACGTGCATAATACATTAATTACAACATAACTGAATATAATTTTAATAAATACTATAAGAAAATAATTTTAAATTAGAGATTAATTTGTTTGTCGAAAACCATTTAAATTCATGGTTAAAGGAGATAAATCGAAATATATTATATTATTTATGCGTTTATCTCCTTGTTTAATTTTACATTTGTATTTTTCAAAGTTCTCAAATCAATTTAATTCCATCTCTTTGTTGAAACAGTGTAACACTGTTGAATTGAAATTGTGTTATGTTTCATTTAAATGGTCTTTAAATTCAGAAAATTTGTTTGATTTAGGCAAGTGTTTTTTAACTGTCGTTTTAATTTTTCTGCCGCTTTGTCCTATATACTTAATATTGCAATAATTTCAAATATGTTTCTAAATCCTGCTTTAAATTAATCACAAATTAAAAATTATTTTTCTTACAGTATGTATTCGGATAATATTTTGCTTCTCATTGGAATGTTGTGTTACCGGTGGATAGGTAGGTTTACGCTTACAATTCATGTCGGCTTCATTCTGATGATGTGTGTGTAATGCTCGAAATCCATATAGTACTCCAACATATTATTTCTAATAAAGAATGTCCTAATTAAAATAATAAACTATTACTACTAACCAAAACCATCCTTTAAAAAATGGAGGAACTTGTTTGTAATCTTTCTTGGTTTAGGGGGCGTCGATGGCCGCAACGGATTAGGCTTTGACACAGCGCTCCAGCGGAACTGCATTCGAACCCGACATACGTACAAATGGGCTTTTTTCAAAAACACCGGCACTCTGAGGGTCATATAACCTCGCAGTTGAAATACCCTCGTAAAAAAAGGAAAAAAAATCTTTCTTGGCCGTTTGCTCCATCGCAGATTTTGTTTGATTTAATTTTTCTATCAATCGTAAATAATTAGTTAATGTGTACGTATTTTATTAATAATTTAGCGAAAATGGTTAATCATTAGTAAATTTGAAAATAATTACTGAATTAGTAAACATGTAGTTGTAATTTTTTTTTGCACGCATTCAGATTTTAATAATATGAGTTAAAAATATATTTTATATAAACATATGAAATAATCATTTTACAATTGTGTTTAATTATTTGGAATTATAATAAATAAATTTGATATAAAAGCCATAAATTGCAATTAATTACAATGTAAATTTCAGTTTTTATCTAATTAAATTCTACTTTTCCATAATATTTTTTAACAATTTATTAATGGGTCTTAAGTATAAATAGCCAATAGAAAGGGTGTACTCAAATAATGAATGGATAAACTATAGATTCCCCATCGTCGTACTAAAACAACGTGCCCAAAAATTTATAAAAAAGCATTTTTAGCAAAACTTTAATTAAGAGACATTTAGTAGCCTTAAATAGATTTCAAAGCTGTAAAAAATATTGTATTTCGAGAATACCAGTGCCATAAGGAACGTGTTAAAAAAGTAATATAAGTATTAATAATTTAGATCAGGAACAGAAGAAGAATACGCAGAAAAACAACACCTGCTGGAAATGGTCACTGTTTTAAAAAAAGAAACCATGAAACAGACGAAATCTGTGGTGAAGGCAAAAAGCAGCATGGTGACTCGGGACTCAGTTTTAACAATCGAAGGTTTGTAAACTACCGATATTTAGAAAATTATCTATACCAAGAGATTTTTTAAATTTTTTTTCGTCCACTGAAGATTTTAGCCGAGATGCTACTCGAAGCATTTCACCAACTGACAGTATGTTGGCCGGACCATCCCGATCCGTTTTTGTGCAAGCGACAGAATCTCCGACGTCATCAATTGCTGATACAGCAGGTAAACGATCGTGAATGTTTTTGATTCGGTAATATTTTATGTGTTATATTTATGATTTAAAGAACCACACAGAAAAAATTTGGCAACAACCGCAATGAGCCTTGCTATAGAATTTTTGAAAGACAAGGCAAAAATGAAAGCTGAATTCAGGGAAAAAAAATTTGCCTTTAAGAAAGAAATTAAAGAGAAAGAACTTGCGCTGAAGGAAAGGGAGATTGAACTAAGAGAAGGTCAGTTAAAATTGGACAGAGATAAGTTTGAGCTTGAGAGGCAGGAAAGGGAAGCAAAACTACAACGAGATATGGAAAGAAAGACGAACGTATAATCAAGAAAACAGTGTTTTGTTGTAGATATCGTCTTATTTTAAAAGATACTGTGCAATATGTACAAATGTAATTTAAAAAATTGTATAGTCTACAATTTGTACGTTCTCATGAATCCCGCACTCCTATGTATGTATATTTGATGGTTCATCATTAGAATATAGGTTTTTTATTTCTACTCAAGTAGGAAGAACAAGTAGCTAGCTTATAATATGCAGCTACTTCTTACATCTTTCCTATATCTTGCCAGAATTATTTTTATAAACACTCTGGATCAAGGTATGGCCTTGAAGAGGAAAGGAAATTTAATTGTTACTGCCAAGCTTTCGGCCTATTTTAAGATCATCATCAGCGCAAACCAAGCTTAAATACGTTTACAGATTGACATATTTAAGTTTTTGCAGGCGATTTCAAATTTCCTTGAAGTCCGATTCAGTCCCAATATTGCCGAGGAGTGTACCAGTCCTTCACTGTCATAAACTCTCAAAAATGATATACATTCGTCTTCCATCATTTACGATTTTGGCGTATTTGTGAGGTACTCTATATTCCGTCACAGGGGGTCTATACACCCTCAACGACTTTCGCCAATAAATATAGTCACACCTGAATAATGAAGAGATTCTCTTCCCTACGAGAAAGTAAAAAGAAATACGAATTAATAATTATTTGGAGATCGTGAGATGTCTTGTGTGATGTAGGTTTAGAAAACTATTTTCTTTATCGCGCCAAAGTTTCGGTCTTTATTGAGATCATCTTCTGGGCCTGGGATTTACAAACATTGTTTACATTATACAAATACATGTAAGATGTGAAAATGAATTTATACAATGGTGTACACAGTATAGAAATTTTTGGTTTAATCAAAGTATTAGTCCTTACTGAAAGTGTGTGCTTTCCGCGTAGATGTGTCACGGTTGTGTGTCGTGCTGAAAGTGTTAGTGAGAAGTTGATGTTTTTTGTTTATAAATGTTGGAATTTGAAGGAGTGGGGAAGGAACTAGGGATAGAAATTCATTTTCCTATGAGGAGTGGCTTCTGCCAATGGGAAAAAACGGTTAATGGTTTGTCGTTCAGGCTTAGTTATCTTTACAGGATTATTAGGGAAAGGAAGGATAAATTGTTAGTGATTTAGTCTATCTAGAAATGGTTTGTTGTGCGGAGTGTAATGATTGTTTTATATGTTGTGCTATATGTTTTTTGCGTTATTTGCATTGAATTTGTTTTATGATATTAGCACAGCTGCGGCTGAGTTTAAATGTGTCTGTTCTGAAATTGATGCTGTGTTTATCAATGTTGATGTAAACCATCTCTAAATCTAAAAAAGTCACGTTTATGTTTGTTTTGTTTTGTGTTTAATATTTTTGGATTGTTGAAGTCGAAATTGTGTTGGTGTGAAAAATGGTGGGTAGCCAGTGCTGTAGGATTTTGTTTGGATTTTTTTACAATTATGGATATGTTGCTTTACTCTCTTATCCTGACATAGCGATGTAATTCCGATGTAAGTTGCCGGACAATTTATAAAATTGATTTTGTAAATTACATCAGACTTATTTGTTACAGGTGTGAAATCTTTAATTTTGGAAAAAAGAGAGTGAATAGTTTCATAGTTTTTGGAGGCTATTTTAAAGTTATCAGAAGAAAGAAATGTGTTAAATTTGTATGATAGGCCGTGAGCGAATGGAATGGATATGTATGTTGGTTTGTATGTGTTTGATAGAATTGATGTTGTGTTATTAGTTATAGTGGATGATGTTAGTGTTGAATTATTCTGTTGGTTATGTACGATAGGTTTGTATATTGTTATGTTCTTGCGGTGGTTCTAAATACTACACACAAAAATACAAATTACTGTGATATTCTAACATAAAAATGCAAGAAAACAATGTTTTAGATTGGCCACAATACTCAGAAAAATCATCTAGGATTTATTTTGTACTGTTGATTATCACAACCCCGCGGATTCGCTTAGCTTATTTAACTAAAAACAATGAATGCTTAAGAAATAGTGAGAAATTGTTAACTGTTTTCATTGTATGTCTTAAGCAGTGAATAACTCGCACAAGTAGAAATTATACATTGTATGTAAATTATATATGCCGAGAAAATATCTTTCTGAAATTGAAATTCATTGAAATAATTAAACTGGTCGTAGTCAAAACATTGTACGATTAACAAATTTTCAACTAATTAACAACAAAGTAAATCAACAAATACTTATTATTTTTAATAACGCAGAGTTCCACTGCAGACAGCATACTTTTCAGCTGCATGGACAGTCCTGACAGCAATTACTTCGATTCGGGCGAAATACGCTTTGACCCGGCCAATAGTGGCAGGTAGAGAATTCTTCGCTAAAGTTATCCACTCTAATTGTCCAACCGGGTTTTCCATTGCGGCCTCTCGACCGAAGGGTGGATGCGGTCGTGGCTGACCTGGAAGGAATTCTGCTGCACCTGACATTTAGCAAAAGTTCAGCCCGGAATCTGATATTTAAGGGGCAGATGGAATTAGTGGGCTAGGGTTGTTTTTCCGTAACAATTAATCTTATAAATGTTAAACGAAAACTTGTATTTTTGGTTTTTTATTTTATGTATAATTGATTATTTTATTGCTGTTTTGTTTTGTTATGAGAGATGAAATGAAACTATTAGTCAAACAATCTAAAACGCAAATACTGAAAGTGTTAACGTTAATAAATACATCAAAATTACACATCGTTAATAGTTAATCACATGCCTTCCTAATTTTGTATTACACAGATTCGTGTAAATCCTTTTACACCGCAGCAGATCAAAGGGCCGAAAGCGCATATGTTATTCACAAACGAAAATTTCCAACATCCCCAACCTTTCAGAATAGGATTAGCGACAATAAATGGGAATGCAATTCAATTTTTGTAATTGCGCTTAATGAATAATTAGAATCAGCAGTAGAGAAAAATGAAAAATTATTTTTCATTATATCAACTATTTACAATATAATTAAATATGTTTGTATAGATATACAACTAATAATTGTTCAGAAGAGTATTGGATGTGTTTTAACAGCGATATGAATATATAGTTTCGAATTTTGTGAAAAATAAATGTTTTTGATAAGAATGGCATTTTTATTTCAACCAATGGCAACAAAAAATCAATTAATATATGTGTGGTGATTAGTGACTGTTAGTTGATGATTATTCGGAAATCGCGAGATGCGGTCTGGTGTGATGTAGGTTTCAGAAAAACATTTTATTTATTGTGCCAACGTTTCGATCTTTATTCAGATCATCTTCAGGGCCTGGGATTTACAAACATTGTTTAAATTTAACAAATACATGTAGGATGTGGAAAAAACTGAATTTATACAATGCATCAAATACTTTTTATATTCAATCAAAGTATTAAAGGCACAATTACGCAGAAAACAAACACTGAGTGAGTAGAAATACTTTGATTGAATATAAAAAATATATTTTGCATTGTATAAATTCACTTTTTTCCACATCCTACATGTATTTGTTAAATTTAAACAATGTTTGTAAATCCCAGGCCCTGAAGATGATTTCAATAAAGATCGAAACGTTGGCACGATAAAGAAAATGTTTTTCTGAAACCTACATCACACCAGATTGTATCTCACGATTTCTGAATAACTCTGAAGTAGTGTGAATGAATTGTTGAATGTGAATATTTTTTATTATCGTGAATGGACGCATTATTCCCGATTACCCCGAAAATTATCGAGAATTCTGGATTAGAGTATGTATAATAAAGTGTGATATAGGAAAATTTATTAGCGCAAATTCGGAGGCTTATCCCTAATTTCACTGAACAAATGCAAGCACACTGGGTGTAAACCACGTCTGACGTATGAATATAATTTATAAGCGCCAGTGGAGTGGATAATCCCCAATTACCTCGATGGATATCAACTACTCTGGAGTAGTATGAATAAAGTCCGGTGAGTGATTGTAATTTATTAGCGCGAATGAAAAGGCTTATCACGCGGAAAATCGACTACTCTGGGGTTGCGTGAATGCTAAACAGACTATCATGTTTTATCTTGATTTTGTATTAGGTAAGTATTCCTATTAATTTATCCACAGTTGCCGATGCACTGGAGTACAGAGAGGATAGAAATATCATAAAGAAAAGAGATTCAGTTACCGTTCTATTGCTCTGAGCATAACTACTGGAGAAACAAGGAAAATAAATAGTGATGATTAAAACGAGACAAAGAAAGATAAGGCTAGCGATGTAGAATGTAATTTTCCGACCCAAAACCTAAAAAAAATAGTTATAAGAATCTATGAACAAACAAATACTTATTGTCGCATCTTTTTTCGGAGATCACCATTCCATCAGCCAGATCCTTCCTTACTACTGTTATATTTGACTAAATTAAAACAACTAAAATACTTTTAAAGATACATTAACATTACAGTAATCGGTATTCGGCTTTAATGATGAAGCACATCCTCTATTCAGATTAATTATTTTAGGTAATATTATTTCATGTTCTCCCCAATTTTGCTTGGTTTTACTTGTACATAATGCAAAGTTTGTCACAGTGTATGGCAAAAGCCTAAAACCTCTTATTTCTAATTTTAGACTCTATCAAAGTGTTTGTTTTCTGTGTAGACGTGTTATTATTGGGTGTCGTGTTGAGAGTGCCAGTGAGATATTGATGTTTCATGTACACATACGTTGGATTTTGATTATTCTGTTGATTAAGTGTTTAGTGAGTGATTGATATGTGGGTTATGTTTGTATATCTTTATGTTCTTGTGGTGAACATAAAGATATTCAGACATGTCCTTCATAACAATCACTACCCTAAACACATAATCAACAGAATAATCAACAACTACAACTCAACACTAACACTATCTGCTATTATACTTATACTTCTCATATAAAAATGTCTTTCTATCCCGACTTCCTTCCCCACCCCTTCAAAATCCAAGGTATGTAGACATAAAACATCAATATCTCACTGGCACTCTGAACACGACACAAACAAGAATGGCACAATTACGCAGAAAACAAACACTTTGGGCGAGTAGAAATACTTTGATTTAATTTCAATTCCTAGC